ACCAGGCTGGCCTTGAACTCACATCTTTCTGTCTCTGCCTCCTAAGTGCTGGGACTAAAGGTTTGCAGAAGAACCACTGCCTGGCTTAAAGGATACCTCCCCCTTTTTTTTTTGGAGGGGCAAAGGTAAATTTTTAATGGAAATAGCATTTCCTCCAAATTTTCAACTTTCAGCATGAAAAAATAAACCACAAAAATTAAGGTAATCTTTACAAAGTAATAGAATGAAGAGACCCGTCTAATCGTAATAAAGCCCAGATTAATGGGGGAAAAAAGAATACACCTGATAGCATAATATTATAAATCTCTCAGAAAAAAAGGTAAACAACCTGAAGAAATTATCTGTAATAAAAAAACCGAAAGAGTACTAATAATTACATTCAACACAGATATCTGTGGATTCATCTGAAGAGCAAAACAGTCTTAGAAGGATAGACATAAAGTATAGGCAAATGACATTATAAAGTATGGACAAATGACCAAGTATAGACAAATGACATAAAGTATAGACAAAGACATAAAGAATAGACAAATGGCATAAAGTAGAGACACAGAACATAAAGCAATTTGAGAAAAAAGTCATGTAAATGTCCACAAATTGCATATGTGCCCAAACCAGAGAATGTACAATCAAGAAATATTATAAGAAATATTTTTAAAATCAATTATTTAAAAAGCTCAACATGCTGGGCAGTGGTGGCGCACACCTTCAATCCCAGCACTCAGGAGGCAGAGGTAGGTGGATCTCTGAGTTCGAGGCCAGCCTGATCTACAGCTATATAAAGAAACCTTGTCTCAGAAAAACCAAAAAAAAAAAAAAAAAAAAGTGATTACATGCAACTTTCAAGCAAGCTGGGAACAGAACGCCCCCATCCCTGGTCTAAATCTGGGTCAGTGTCTTCCCAGGGATAAACTGAACAGTGCACAAATACCCTAATGTCTGACAACCATGCTGATCTAGTAATTGCATTTCCAGGAATCTGTCCTAAGGAAATGACCCTGGATATTAAAAGCATATTTCTGATAGTTAATGATTAAAATTATAAATTTCAAACAGTAGATTTTTTTAATATAATTTTTTATTGAAAAAAAATTCCGCCTCCTCCCCACCTCCCTTTTCCCTCCCCCTCCTCCCTCTCCTCTCCCCCTCCCCCTCCAGTCTGAAGGGCAGTCAGGGTTCCCTGCCCTGTGGAAAGTCCAAAGTCCTCCCCGCTCCATCCTGGGAAAATATGAGCAAAGAAGTCAGGACCACGAGGGGTGCACCCACCCACGGAGACAGTGGGGCTGATCTATTGTGAGCTCACCAAGGCCAGCTGGACTGTGACTGAAAACATGGGATAAAACCGGACTCTCTGAATATGGCGGACAATGAGGGCTGATGAGAAGCCAAGGACAATGGCACTGGGTTTTGATCCTACTTCATGTTCTGGCTTTGTGGGAGCCTAGCCAGTTTGGATGTTCAACAGTAGATTTTTTTTAACAGATTTTCCTGGGGAAGACTTACGAAGACGAAACAGAATCTGCAGATTCTCTGGGTCACTGGTGCTGGTCAACAATCTCATTATGCTAATCACCAAGAAATAACCATTAAAAATGCTGTTGAGTCCTTCTTAGATGCAGAAAAATATTCACAATATCTTACATGCTTTACCCGCAGATTTTAAAACAGCATGTCTTCTATGCTCCTATCCTAAAGAAAATTTGGAAACAAACACAAACAGAAAGGATTGAAGGATGCATTCCAAAATGTTGCCTTCTTTAATTACTTATATTTTATATATTTTCCACAATGGAAAGAATATGGGTTCCTTTCATCACAAACAAGCAGACTTACAGTAGATTTTCCTTGGTGAAGACTTCCTAAGAATGGAAACAGGATTTGCTACTAACTACTTTGGGGCTCACACGCCTTAGTCAGTGAGCCCAGGTACTAGAGCTAATGTTTAGAGAGTCTTTGATACCCTGACCCTTCTCTATTTTCACTAAAAAGCAAAACCAAAGGGAAAATTAAAAACCTATCTTGCTTGTTTTGGACACAATGCCACTCTCATCTTTGTCCTATGCCTGACGATCCTGCTCTTAAACCCTCTTCTATCTTTCTAGTTTGAACAAGTCACACTCCATCACCCAGAACTTAAAATACAACAGAACTCTTGTCTGCGTTCCTGATATGACCTGTGCCATCTGTCCACAGCACAGTCCCTTCTTCCCCAGTCCTTTATCCCATCTCAAAACAAGGTGAAGGAAAAAGAAGATCTATATAAAAAGAACCCGCAATAATTCCCCCCTTTACAATGAACACACCCAGTAAACAGGACACTGGAAAGAGGAAGCAAAGGGCTCAAAAGCAGATCTACTCTGGGCCTCGGCCCTTTAAGTGGAGAAAGAGCTATTCTCCCATCCACAGGAGAAGGCATGAGAAGTCCAGGGGACTAGTTAAAACACAAACTGGCGATCACAGTCAAGGAAGGACAGATGACACATCTTATAGACACTAAAGGTACGATGCTCTGCAGTATCAGATAGCTTTCATTGAAGGAAGAAAACGAAAAGAAAGAGCAAATTCTGAGAAACTCAAACTATGCAAACGGTTGAGAGTACACATTTGTATACATGTTTGGCTAAAAAGCAGTGTCCTGGTCTTGTTCTAAGTGGCTAAGAGACTCTCCCAGGACTTGGTGGCTTGTCTTGGAGCACGGCGACCTCTAGCAGCTCCAACATTATACAGTTCAGGTCTATTGCCAATAATACTTTGCATTATAAAGTTACAGGCAACTTAGAAAACAACAGATACTCAATTTAACTGATTTTATCGGGCATCCATCGTGGTAAAGGTATTCCCAATAACCTGAATCTTCACAGTTGACATCTATGTAACCAACACAGCTTCATGACATCATGAACGAGTCTATACACACAGAATGTTACACACACTGAAATAAACTTTCAATGGACTTATTCTACATAAAATATAAAAGATATTTTTTTTAGTTAGCATTAGCTGTCAACTCAACACAGCTCAGGTCTATTTTAAGGAGTCTCAATTAGGGGACTGCTCTGATCATATAGACCAGTTGGCATGTCTGTGTGGCATTGGCTTGATTGCTAATTGATGTATCTGCTGTGGGCTGTACGATCCCTGAGCAAGAGAGCTAACTGAGAAGAAGGCAGGGAGCAAGAACAGTATTCCTTCATGGTTTCGGCTCTGGATTTCTGCTTCAAGTTCATGCCTTAACTTACCTCACACAGACTGTGACCTGGAGATGCAAGCCAAATAAACCCTCTCATCCCCAAGTTGCTTTCCCGTGTCGTTTACCACAGCAATAGAAAGCAAACTAGAACAGATACTATAACTTGAGCAATTTTTAAATATCTACAGGGAAGCAAGAATAGAGGTTTGGGTGCTGGCACTGAAGAAATTTACATAATGTAATGTTAAAAAAAATATGGCAAGGTGATCTTACTGAGGGCTTTGTGCATGCCAGAACTGAGCTATGCTCCCAGTCCCAGGAGGAAACATTTCAAAGAGAACATTTAGAACGTTCACATTGCTGTGAAGCCACAATTTCCCAGTCCCCAGTCCTTTCCTGTAGGGCAGCAGGACACTTTGGTTGTGAGAATCGGCCTTGATTCTGGCCATTTCTCAATGAAGCCTTGGCTCATTGAGGAATGTCCCAGTTCATTCAGGTAATACAACCAGGTAGCACACTGTAGTCCAGACCCCTTCAACAAGTGTCTGCCTAAGTCTCTACTCACAAAGAGGAGAGCTAAATAGCACCGGGGAGAGCTGATCCACAGACCCACCCACAAGAACGGACTCAACTCAGCGTATTTTACAAGCTGGATTCTTTTTGACCCAAATGATCCACTGCCTCTGCTCTCTCATTTCAACCCACCTTTGTGTAAGTATACAGAGAATATGCAAAGACAATTTCAGGCCCAAGCTCACAGGAGGCCAGCCCTAGGTTGGCTGTGTGGAGCCCCGTTGTTAGGGAGGGCTTATTTGAAAAGTGACTGCCTATTGAAACTGATAATTACAGGTATGCTTCACAAATAAATTATAATTGCAATGACTAATTATAAGGTACCTTAGAAACAGTATTCTATGTTAATCACAAAATTCCTACTCTCAACATGTCTGAGTATATCACACCCTTGACACAAGTCTACTTGCCTCTAAAACTTTAATCTTTAGACTAATGGTAATAAGGCTACCAAGGCTCAGAGAGGCTTAGCGACTTCCCCTAAGTCATCCTCTTTTTAAGAGGAGATCCAGAATCACAGAGGTCTGAACCAGGCTTCTTACCAGCTAGGAATACACCTTCCCTAAGTCTGCGTGCCAGTATTGATCGTCAAAACATTGCTAGAAAGAATTCCCACGGCGGCTGTGATAAACCGGAGCCACATGGGTTAAGTTTGGAAGGCATTCCCAGGCAGGATACTCAGAAAGTATTCCAACCAGCAGTGCATATGAACAGAGGTGCTCAGGGCATTGAACGTTGGGCTCGGCAGGACCCGCGTTATTTTTGTTTATCCATGTGAAGAATTTCGGAGGTCTTTCCACCCTGCCAAAAACCGGGGGCACAGAGTTCCCTTCAGCTCTCCCAACTCCTCACACCCAATTATTTACTTTCAGCGTCTAATAAGCTATAACTTGCATAGAGTTATTGAACATATTGTCATTATTGCAGGCTAGAAAGGAGGCCCTAGGTCTTATTCACGGCCCTGTCCCCAGGGCACAGAGGCACAATGGCCTAGTCCCCAGTAGGCATGCATTCCTCGTCCTTATAAACACAGGCGACAGTATCTACTCACAACACTCTCTAACCTCTACTGAAAGCTGCTAACTGCTGTTAAATATTTCACAGATTTGAACGGGGCCACTGACACAGTTCCTTAGCGAATTCAACAGCTCCACCGCTGTAATTATGGAGTAACAGACATGCCGTCGGCACATGGAAAGGGTTTGCTTGTTACAGTTTATCCAGGGTATTAGCTTACGAGTTCAAGGAAGTCGCCTGACTGACAGGTAGTCCACCCAGAGGCAGCAAGCCAAGTTTTCTCAGTTCTTAGGTACAGTGATGGGAAGCTGCAAGACAGGAGGAGAAACCAATGAAGAAGGGATATGTGACGTCAAGACGGGTATTGATCTTTTTATTCATTTTTGTCATATATATTTATTCGGTGAGGGGAGGAGAAACACGTGCTAGGGCGTGCACGTGGAGGTCGAAGGATAACTTTCCTTCTACCACCTGAGTCCCGAGGGTTGACCTCAGGTCATTAGGGTTGACAGCAAACACCTGTCATCACTGAGCCACCTTGCCTCGCCCACCCCACATTTGATCGTTGTTAACAGAAACGACTTTTGGAAAAAGGTTTCAAATGCCTGGTAATTGTATAATAGGTCCTATGCAGAATGCTCTGTGATAAACTAATGGGGCGGTCACGTACCACTAATCTTCATGTATTACAATTTACTGGGAACAGTTTGGGGGCCTTAGTATGATGCATCATTTGAATAGCCTTTTCATAATGAGAGGTTCGGTGAGATTACCTAGGCTTCCCACAACCACACAGCTACTTAAAGCTGCAGTGAGGGTCAAGCCTCTAGGTTAGTGATTTTCAGAAAGGAGTAATTAGTAATTTTTATCCACTAGGTGATACTGGCAATTCAGGAAGACTTTTTTGGTTGTCACAATGGGGGAGAGGAACTAGGCATCTAGGGGGCAGGAATGCTACTCAACATCCCACAAGCAGGGGACAACTTCGCAGTCAGGAATTACCAAATGGGCCGGGCAGTGGTGGTGCACGCCTTTAATTCCAGCACTCGGGAGGCAGAGACAGGCGGATCTCTGTGAGTTTGAGGCCAGCCTGGACTACAAGAGCTAGTTCCAGGACAAGAACCAAAAGCTACAGAGAAACCCTTTCTCAAAAATCAAAAAAAAAAAAAAAGAAAAAGAAAAAGAAAAAAAGAATTACCAAATATTACCAGTGCCATGGCTGAGAATGGCTGCTGGTGAGATAACACTGTTGAACGCTAGGGCTGCCTGAAATACAGATGTTAATTCTCTCTCTCTCTCTCTCTCTCTCTCTCTCTCTCTCTCTCTCTCTCTCTCTCTCTCTCTCTCTTTCATTCCAAGGGAGAATCTGGGCCTGGTTCCAGCTTCTCACTGCTGCCAGCCTCAGTCTTCCATGGCTTAGGTTCACCCTTGGTCTCCGACTTCATATCACGACCTTCTCTACCTGTCTTTGGCGTCTCTCTGGGATGAACTGAGGGACCATCTAGATAATTCAGAACCATGCTGCCTCTCGCAAACCCTGATGACACTCTCCTCTCAAATAAGCCAACAGGTTCTAGGCATCTACAGATCCCAGGAATTAGGATGTGGGTCTCATTGGGGGAACACAAGGAGGTATCATTATTCCCGTTTTTACATGAGGCAATTTGAAGCCACTCAGAGAAGCTGGAGAGAGCTCTTTAATCAGCCGGGCCTCAGCACCACCGGGGCTATTGCAGGGCACTGATGAATACGTATGTGTTCCAAGCACTCTCTGGAAGACCTGTGTCAACACAGGCTCCCAGGATGTAAAAGCCTCAAGAATATTTTTGTTAATTTTCTTAACATCCTTTATGGAACATTTCTTTGTTTCCCGGGAGGTATGTATTATATAAACAACGACCTGTAATCCTTGCACGGAGCTGCCCACCTCCTTCCTGAGTTTTAAATATGCAACAAATTACAGCCTTAACTGTGCATGTTCCCTTAGCGCTGGTACTGTAGGATCAGCTCAGATCTCACTCTTGCTGTGAGAGGAGGTTATTGCCCACGGAGGGACCAATATAGTGGGTCTATGTGTGGGTGGGTGCCAGAGTTTTCAGCACCCCCCCCAAATGTTTGCATGCTAAAAATACCCGTTATTCAGCCAGAACAGGAAATAAAGTACTGATACTTATTACAAGGAGCATGAAGCTTTGAAAACACGCTGAGTGAAAGAAGCCAGACACAGAAGGGTCCATTAGAGGATTCCCAGCGGAAGAAATAGCCACAGTAGCAAAAAAGCAGCTGAACAGCTGCTCAGGGCTCAAGGGGTTGTAGCCGGGGCATTCTGGGTTATATTCTGGAGTGGTAAAATGTCTTGGAGCTAGACAGAGGTGACATGTGCCTCCAGTTTTCACCATAAAACAGTCGATTTTATGTTCTGTGAACATCATTTGAATAAAAATAAATTAATGGCCTATATGCAAAGTGAACTCCAGCTTAAACAATCCATTTCTTTGCCATGAGGCATTTAAAACATATTTTCTTTCATACAGTAGAGGGGTTCCTACTTAAACTATTATGACTTCTTATTGTATACAGCTGGGACAAAATTTTTCAGCTCCTTTTCTGCTCTTCAGATTTTGGTATGAAGTCTCAAAGATGTGTAAACAATACAGCTTTGCCATCTACTTTTAATTTTTGTAACTAAAGTACTTGCTTTTTAAAAAAAACAGTTATACTATATTATAATTTATACAAAAGCGACAGTAAGGATCATATTTTTGTCTCTCTCCTCAAATTGGCTCCTTACTTGCATTTTTTTATAAGAGAGCCCTGTTAGATAATAAAATGAAGTGCTGTGCTAACTCTGAAGCACATTTCAAATACAAGGCATTATTTATATAAATAAAAGTGTTTACTGCCGAGCTAGCATGCAACACGCTGCTGCTGAGGTACCGTGTGCACTTGAAAATGACACGCCGGCAGTAACCACCCTGAGGAATGGGCGGTCCATTACTTCACAGTCAATAGACAGCAACTAAGCAATATGTCTCAGCAGCTACACTGGATGGGGTTTTATCCAGAAAAGGGCACGGCACAAGCAAGAACTAGAGCGGAGGGGGGTAGGGGGGGCAACCCCACTGCCTCCTCCTGAGGGAGTCCATCCAGGCTGTGACCTTGAGGAATGTGGGCCGTTCTAGCGGCTTTATGAGGAGTAAAACTCACTAAAGGAAGACTCATGGCCAAGGATGGGGAAGTCTTCTGAGGAGGCACGGAAGGACTGAGGAGTAAGACAAGAGCCATGCAGAGCTCAAGGGCACCTCCTGCCTTGAGAACCCAGTCTTTGCTTCTAGGTAGAAGGCACCAAGGACCCACAAATCCCCAAGTATGAATGCCGCAAGAAGGAAGGGTTCTGGAGGAGAGACGTGGCAATCACTGGAGTTTGCCATGAGTACATATAGTAATTCCTGGTCTGAACAGAGTCTCTTATTTTTTGCATCATAAAGGCAGCTTCTGGCTGGGAACCTGGACCATTGCCCCTCAGTGCACTGTGGCACAGGGAGCTAGGCCAGAGTCTTATCTGGCCTATCTGGGTAAGAAGGTTAGCAGGAGAGACAGGACCATATGAGAGAGAGAGAGAGAGAGAGAGAGAGAGAGAGAGAGAGAGAGAGAGAGAGAGAGAGAGAGAGAACTGAGTTCTGGACCATATTTGTGAGTAACATTTTGTACTCTCAAACCCATTATCTCCTTGAAGTCATCTATAAAATGGGTGGTTGTGCTGCCCTGCTTATCTCCAACAAAGTGTGTGTGTGTGTGTGTGTGTGTGTGTGTGCGCGCGCACGTGTGTCTTTCTGCTGAGTAGAGATACATGTGGTCTTAGTGAAGCACAGTGATCTTAGCAAAGGACTACGGGTGAAGATTCCTGCCCCTGTTCCCCCTTCTGGCCTAGCAAGCTCCTTGACAGGACCATGGAGCAGACACAATATGATGATCTTGTTCATCATTTCTACCTACCACATGTGAAGGGTCAGAAGTGGCGGCCTGTTTGGATGTTCCTGGACAATCCACAGCTACACTCGACTCAACTGCACATGGCTCAGCCACCCCAGACTTGTCAAGGATCAGCTGCCCTCGGGCAGTATGTGGAACAAACAATGTATACTTTCTCCAGTTCATACTCTGACCTGTGTATGCGGGCTCTACTAGGTTCTGAATGCCAAAGGCCATCAGAACAGTAATGGAACCCATACAAGAAGTTATTAGAGACTGAGACGGGACTTAACAAAGAGGGCAAAAAGAGTGATTAGCAACATCAGTGAGCTGGAAGCAAGAGGTCTCTTTAGACACAGTAACAAGAGTGCTCCTGAAGAGCCTAGTAGAGCCCAAAGGTTCTACAAGACAAGACAACTCAAAGACAGCTGCCCTGAGACAAACCTGTGCTCAGTCCTACTCTTCCCCAGGCCATAAGCACAGCCTAGAAGCAACAGCTTCCGAGAAGCATCCAGACACAGCTTCAGGCCACCTTGGGAAGAAGGGGACAGCTACAAACAAAACGAATGTGGAGATGTTGACTCTTATGTGATACAGAGAGTTTAAGGATCTTGCACATTAACTTGTGAAGACTGAGAGCAGGCATGGGACTTAGAAATGTTTTCCACGAAGTAAGTTTCAATGGGACAGCGGGACAGACAACCTTGGCTGGCTTCCATCCACCTATTCAAGTCACACAACCTTGCAAGATATGGCGGCATTATCTCATGTGGAATGTGCTTTCTAAAACCGAGGTCTGTCACACCCACCTAAATGCTAAGATCATCTTGTAATGTGCTCCATCTTTGACCACACCAGGCAGATCTGTCAGTATCTGAAGAAACTAAACCTACTTCTTGCCCATGTCACTGGGTCTCATTCCTACACCTTCTTCCCACTCCAGGGAGACAGATGAAGCTCAAGGGACGTCTGCCTCAGGAGCCTACCACCAAGCTCAACCCTGATCCATCAGGAGGAGGCTCTGGCAATCTTCAGTTTCCAAGCTTATGACTCTTCTCCTCAGATACCACCTTAACATGTCAGATTTCTGTGTTGCCATCTGGGGCCTGGCTGAGAAGCCCAAAGTCTGTGTCTCTCTCTACTCAGCAGGAAACCCAGGAAATATCCATCACAGGCTAGGGGAACTCTTAAAGTCCAGCCGTTTATCCCACATTTTGTCTTACTTAGTTCGTGTAAAGCCAATCTTCAAGTCCACGGGGTTATAAAGGACGAAACAGAATCAACCTTCGGTAAACTGGCACTTTGTCAAGCAACGGCACAAGGCCCTGGTTTCCAC